AATACTTCCACTTTTAAAAAAAAAGGGTGCCACCTAAGTCGTACTCTTTTTCCCTCATCCGGGTTTTGTCCCAATCGGGTTTTCCTGGTCAGGTTTTTAATGAGGCAATGAAGGAGACATCTTGAAGTTCGAAGTATTATTCATTACCCTGCCCGTCAACACGGTCCCTGGGGCGAAGTAATGAAGGGACTGGATATAGATAATCAAATCTTCATTGTATGTAAAGAGTCGACATGTAATTCTCACAAGAATATAATCAAATCTCCATCGTAGGTACAGGGTTGACTTAATCTCCATTGTATGTACATAGTCGACTTGTAATTTTCACAAGAATATAATCAAATCTCCATCGTATGTATAGGGTCGACATGTGTTTTCCTACGGGAATATGATCAAACCTCCAACAAGAAATGGCCAAGGCCATCGACGAAAATATGAGTTCGACCTCGTTCGAACAACGATGGGATACCACTTTGACGATAGTTCGAAGCAACATCCCAATGGCCAAGGCCATCGACGAAAATATGAGTTCGACCTCGTTCGAACTACGACGGGATACTACTTCGACGACAGTTCGAAGCAACATCCCAATGGCCAAGGCCATCGACGAAAATATGAGTTCGACCTCGTTCGAACTACGACGAGATACTACTTCGACAACAGTTCGAAGAAACATCCCAATGGCCAAGGCCATTGACGAAAATATGAGTTCGACCTCGTTCGAACTACGACGGGATACTACTTCGATGACAGTTCGAAGCAACATCCCAATGGCCAAGGCCATTGACGAAAATATGAGTTCGACCTCGTTCGAACTACGACGGGATACTACTTCGATGACAGTTCGAAGCAACATCCCAATGGCCAAGGCCATCGACGAAAATATGACTTCGACCTCGTTCGAACTACGACGGGATACTACTTCGATGGCAGTTCGAAGCAACATCCCAATGGCCAAGGCCATTGACGAAAATATGAGTTCGACCTCGTTCGAACTACGACGGGATACTACTTCGATGGCAGTTCGAAGCAACATCCCAATGGCCAAGGCCATTGACGAAAATATGAGTTCGACCTCGTTCGAACTACAACGAGATACTACTTCGATGACAGTTCGAAGCAACATCCCAATGGCCAAGGCCATTGACGAAGACACGAGTTCGACCTCATTCGAACTACGACAGGATTGTACTTCTACAGTAGTTCGAAGCAGCATCCCAAAGGGGGGAATCATCCTCGCCTAAAAGCTTAATCGACTTAATAAGCTCGTCAGGTATCCCAGACACCATAAACACTATAAAGAACACCAACAAATCGATAAAATCAAATTCTACATTGCACCAAAATATTATTTACATTTATCCTTACAAACGGGCTCAAACATGCCCCCTACAAAAGCCCCAAGACAAAAAAAAATTACTAACAAAAAATAACACATCACCCCTAGGGGGATAAGCATCCTCATACCAAGAGTCCGAAGCAAGGCGGTTCGCATCGTCAGAATTGATATCATCTTCGTCAGGTGTAAGAGGATCATACCTGTATGCCTCACGAGCTTCGTTATGCATGGTTTGAAGTTCCGCTTTAGTTTCCCTCCCCTCGGCGTGGAAAGCCTTGTACACATCAAGTCGGGCCTCAGCCAGAACCCACAACTCATATAGACGACGAGGAACGACCGGGTCGGCCGAGGCACGAGACGTAGAAGGTTGAGAGCGTCGATTTGCATCATCCGCCCTTAGCGAGGCCACTTGCCCATTCAATGTGGATAGCTCTGCCTCTAACTCCCTAACACGCGCTTCAAGCCCCGCGACCTTAAGACTAGAGGCCCCCTTCTCCTCAGTCAGCTTCGACTTACAAACATGAAGGGCATTCTCCAAAGACGTCGTTCCAGAAATAGCTGCCGCTAGCTTATCAACACCGTCCACCAGCTCACCCTTAAGTCCCTCAATCTCCGCCGCCTTCGCACTCAGTTTAGCGGTTAAACTGGCCACCTTTGCTTGTAAATCAGCATTCTCAGCCATCGCCCCCCTGCTCAACTCGAGCTCGTCCTCCTTCACCTTGAGGGAGGCCTCAAGCTCACTGTTACGGGCGACAGCCTTCACAAGCTCCTCGTCCTGCTCCCTCAGCTTTTCGATCTTGTGCTCCAATTCCTCCATTTGTTTGAGCCTTTCGCAAAACAGTTGAAACTCAGGATCCTAATTGTAAATATCGACCATCGCATGGTGCTTAGCATGGTACGGTTAGAATTTGGACGACATCTTCCCATAAACGGCCATCCTCTTCCTCCCCCGACGCTCACGCTCAGTCTCCATGATGAGGGTCTAGCACAGAAGAAAAGAGAAGTTAAAAACAAAGTACAGGTCGACAATCGCCGCACAAGCTCAACGACGAAAAAAAAGGAAAGGCACCTACCCGCAAGGCCATACTGGCAACGTTCTGAGACAACTCCACATCACTCATTGCCCTGAGAACCCGTTTTCAGGGGCAACACATAGAGGAGCTAGAATGGACGCCACTTGCTCATAGTTCGACTGTAAGTTATAGTTCCCTGGGATGACTATGTGACGATCGAACCCCTTCGCTCTGACCTCCATGTGAGTATGGCGACCCACGAACTCGTTGACTTCCTCCAGGTCAACATCTGAACCTTAGCCTTTGCCCTCGACGTGACGGCCTCCAACATTGACGATGCGCCACCCTCAGCATAGCGTACAGAGCCGGCTCTTAGGTAAACCCCCTCTATTTGAGGATATCTCTCCGATAATATAGCATCGGCCATAAATACGGGCACATGTGCCGTCTGCGATGCCCTACTTCTATCAGCATTGACCGCCACACCCTTCCCGAGCTTCATTCTCCTCTTTTTTCTCGATAATGGCTCATCCCCATTGGAGGATTCGTCCAAGAGGTGGGGGACCGGCATTGAAGAAGCCTCCTCCCACACGACCACGACTCGAGAGGGGCCTTCTAATTGAACAGGTTGATGACGACCCTCTCGAATAGATTCACTCAAAACAAATTGCGTGTCCACGGTGGTAACGGCCTGTCGAAATGCGGGGACAGACTCCCTCCACCTGGATGCTCCTCAACCTGCCATCACGAAGAAGTCGAATTAGTAGACGAAGATATATAACCACCGAAGTGGTAAAGGGAAAACACTCACCAGTGGAACTTTAGGGTCGTGACGCTTTACGAAGGAAGGCCAATCTCGGATTTCCGATGCATGGGGTAACAGACGAGCTACCCAATCCCCTGTGCCCACAATAGGGCGGGGTAAACGTCCCATAGCTGCAAACGAGAAGCAAACAAACTTCATGATGAATACCAACGATAAGTTTCGTTTTGACAAAGAAGTACTTTTGCCAAAACTTGCGACTTGCTCGGTCGTCTGTCCCAACTACCAGCCCTTTCGTGCCACGGTGCCTCAAATGCGCCATGGTACCTCTGTGGAAGCTAGGTGAGAACAGGTGCAAGAGGTGGTGGATAGAAACGTTACATTCCGCCAACTCCGCATACTTGGTCAATAGTAGAAGCACCTTAAGCGTATACGACGAAAGTTGTGCCGGGAAAACTTGGTAGAACCTGTAGAACTCTTCCGCTAATGGGAAGAGAGGAAAAGTGTATTCAATCACGAAAGGGTACTCATAGAAAGCGCAGTACCCAGGCCTGTGGACATCTACAAAATCTCCCCCCGCCGGAATCATGTCAACGTGAGCGAGAATGCTATATTTTATATGAAGAGCGTCAAGGTGAACCTGCTCCATCTCAGAAAGTATGGGGGCAGGAGTAGAAGGGGGATCTTTGAGGAAGTCACTTCGAGACATGGGGTATCTCGGTAGTAACTTCTCCACCGTAGGGAGACTGTCACCCTCTTCTACCACCGTATCTTCATCGCCTAAAGGGGGCGCCATGGACAATGGGGTGGCCTTAGGAACCCCTTCACGAGAATGATGTGACCTTGGCATGATTTCGCTCAAAGAGATATCAATGTAAAAAAGGAGGAGGAAGTAGATGCGAGTGAAAAATGTGAGAAGAAGAAGCAGAAGGGCATCAAGGCAAACCCAGAGGAATAAGGGGAGGTTATCAGGAGTGAAATGGCCAAGAACTTTCGAAAAAACAAACCCTCCACCTATTTATAGGGTTGGGTGGCTCCAGAATCGAACCGGAGGGTCACAGAGTAGCGCCAACGACTCCTACCTCGAAAACATGCGTAATGATGACACACGTGAAGGTGATATCATTTCCCGGTAAAATGTATTACCCGGAGTCTTGCTAAGCACGCTGACCGTCCCCCATTGCCCATGTCATAACGCCTTGAAGGATCAAATTTCTCCATAGGAACGCATGATGTCTGCTTATTGAGGACGCACACAGTTGCGACCCCGACAAGCGGAGGGACTAACTGTATGGGTCCAAATTTGACCAACCACGACCAACGACGAGTACGACGAATGATGGGGTCTCCTTGACACGATATCCTGCGGGAGACGGCCTTAAGGCAAACAAGAGACCGTACGACCCTTGTAATAGTACGAGCTCATTAGGGGACATTAGGAATATTCATGCGAATATTCTTTGTAACGTGTCTTTAACAGCTTAGAAGGGTTTCTCTCATTGTATATATAGTGGACAGTAACCTTGTAAAAAGGGGGGATATAAAAAAATACTGGTTATAATATTACTAACGAATGAGAAGATTTGGCCAAAATTAGATCGGCACAGAAATCTTATTACTCGTCTCCTCCTTATCCATCTTTTCTTTTAAAGATTATTATACTTAGCTAAAATTTACTTCTTCATTTTTGATTGATTTGTTTAAAAAAAATTTAATATCTTTTGAGTCAAACACTAACTAGCACAAAAATGAAGTAAAGCACAATTTTGATTGAGAAGTTTCGGTAAGCAGAAAAGCTTACCATAACCGGTAAGGAATATATGAGTGGACAAGTGAAGGAGTACATGTACAACACAAAAAAAGAGAAAAGAGGACAAAGACAAACCGAGATGCGCCGACGTTGCCGTGGATGATGACGTGTGCCACGTGTATTCCAAGTGGTTGAAACTCTCTTGCTAGACATTGCGATAAGGCTCTCATTGCAAACTTTCCACAGCCTGTGATTTTTCTTGTTTAGTTTGTTCCTTAATATCATCGAACCAAACTGAAAATTTCAATGCAACTAAAAAAGTGAAAATGACCAAAGTAAAAAAAAACTATATGACTTACATAATTCAGAGTAGCCGGCAATGCCATTAAGAGAAGCTGAGCAACCACTGAAGAGAACCGTCCCTCTTCCTCTTTCCACCATTCCTGGTAGTACCTGAAAATTTATATTATACTACTGTCAGTGCATATAAATTAAGTCATCGTTAATATATACAACTGAAATCTGTATATCCAGTGTAAAATTTTTGGACCTGTTGAGCGCAGTGGAAGGCCCCAACGGAGGAAACGGCTATCGATTTTTCAAAAAGTTCGACCTTAATGTCTGTAAAATTTGTGGGGTTCCAAGAAACTGGCAGGTATGCATTGTAAACCAAGACTTCCACAAAACCAAGAGATAAAACTCCCTCAAATGCTTCTCTTACGCTTCGTGAATCGGAGCAATCGATTCGGATAGCAAACACTTGCGCCTTTTCTTCTCTTGCTATCTCGTCAGCAAATCTTGATAATCTACCTGTTACAATAAACAGAGAGTTTTAAGTATAGCTCCAATTAACTGCATTTTCGAAGAGCTCAAAACTTTCAATATTTAAAGTATTAAATCCTGAATCCGCTTCTGACCGACCCAAGTCACGGGCGAGTATAGCGACTGTATAGCCTTCGTGGGCGAACTTGCGAGCGATGGAACGGCCAAGATTAGGCCCTACGCCCACAATTGCGGCGATGCCTTTGGATGAGGCAGAACTGGCCATGTTCCTCATCTTCTTTTTTAAACTTACGGCGCCACTTTATCTTCTCACTTAATTATATGAACACGTAGAAATAGGTCTTTGAAACCGAAATCAAATGCAGCTACTTGTGCTTGAGCTAAAATTGATAATTTCCAACCCGTATGTAGACCCTAGATAATACAGACTTATAATAGTGGGGATGTTTGTGGATACGCCTAGATATTGTGTCCTGCTGTCGCTTTCTAAAGTCTGCTGCTTCCTTTGGGAGAGGCAATATATATACTACTAGTATAGTTTAATGGAGCTGAATGGTCTTTCCAGATTAAGTAATATGGTGGTGTATATAGAAAGTATGGACTAGTACACTCCTCACTTCCATCCTAATGATTGAGCTTCTGTCAAGTTTCAATTCCCATTAATAAGTGTTGGTCGCCAAAAATATAAATGCCTTTTCTTTTCTTTATTTCCCTGTCACCGCTCTATTAAATATAGAGAAAGTATAGATTATGTATCGTTTTCACATGGATTGGAGTTAAATAATATTCTAGTAATTTTTGGCCTAAATGCTAATATTCAGGATGATCAACAATTTGATTTGGAATTATTATGAACTAACATTAACTATTAAAACTACAACAATTAATAATTGATTACGGAAAGACAAGAGTTGAGCAACACAAAAATAATGAATGGGAGAAATAAGGGTCATGATATGATAGGTGTAAGATAGCTATTCGGGATCTAACTCTAGCTCAATTGTAAGGAAAAGCTCCATCACATTGCCACTCTTCAATTAAACGTTTAAATTTTAGAAAATTAAAATAATTCGAGCAAATGTTAGTTAATAAGTAGTTGTTAGCTAGACAAGCTGATAACTAACCTTAGTTAGTTAGTAAACTTGATTGCAGTTAGGCGGCTGAATATGTAGTTAGGAAGTTAAGAGTTAGTTAGTTAATTTATTGTATATATACAGTGTTCAAAGAATAGAAAAGATACGATTTTGCATTTCCAATTTTCCTTCAAATCTGTTCTTCATTCTTCTCAATTCTCTCTCGATCTATTATTTCTTTCTCTCTCGTTAATGGATATGGTTGTTAACATGGTATCTGAGCCACCGACGTAAGTCCTCATCGCTACTCTAGTTTGCTCTGGTCTTCTCAGAAACTTCAGTTTAATAATTTCTAGTTGAATTGTCGTAGAGTTCATCTGAGCTAAAAGGAGCTAGGGTTTATGAATTGGGAGAGAATTTTGCAAAATTTGTTCAATTCAACTGATCGGCGAGTACTTTGCTACTAGAAAATGGCAATTGGAGATGAGTCGAGTCCCTCGAGTAGTGTACCTGTTCCTCCTAACACTGTAAATGGTGATTTGGGCACAGGCACCACAAGTTTTTCAATAATCGATCATAATCATCTTTTGTTCTTACAGCCAACCGATACTCCAGGAAGTACACTAATTTCACTTCAGTTGACTAGATCAGATAATTATGCTCTATGGAGTCGTGCTATGAGAATTGGCCTTTTAGGTAAGAGCAAATTAGGTTTTGTTAATGGTCGATTTCCTAAAATTAGATTTGAACCTGAGTTACATGATCAATGGGAAAAGGTTGATGTTGTTATTCTACCATGGATCATGAATTCAATTAGACCTGGCTTATTGAGTAGTGTTCTGTATGCTTGTGATGCTCATAAGGTTTGGGAGGATCTCAAGGAAAGATTTAATAAATTCAATGGCTCTAGAGTTCTATATCTTCATAGAGAAATCCATAGTCTTACTCAAGGAACCATGACAATTGCTGATTATTTCTCTAAATCGAAAGATCTGTGGGATAAATTTGATGCACTCATGCCTTGTCCTAAATCTAAGAAATATTCTCAGCATTTTGAAGCTAATAGGTTACTGCAATTTCTGATAGGTTTGAATGAAACCTATGCCCAGGCCAGAAGCCAAATTATGATGATGTCTCATGTACCTAGCATCAACAAAGCATATGCACTTCTTGTTGATCAAGAAAGTCAGAGAATTCTTGCAACCTGTCAGCAATCTATGCTAATTACTAAAGGGATAGAAAGCACAATATTGTATAACAACAGAGGAAATGAAGCCTCGGGAGGTAGTTACAACTTAAAGAAGAGTCAGATTCAATGTGAATAATGTCATAGCAAGGGACACACCAAAGAGAATTGTTACAAACTCATAGGATATCCACCTGACTTTAAGACCAAGAAGAAAGGTTCTACAACTCCTGGTTTGTATGCTAATGGTGTCTCAGGTGTAGATTTTTCCGTAAGAGATATTACTCACAGGCACTCTCAACCATAGTGTGCAATACCTCAAGCCAATGCTGCCTATCAATAGAACAAAGGAGGAAATCCCCGTGTGTATCCACAACAATAAATTATCTATCCACAACAGCAGGCTCCTAGCTTTTGACCTCCCCCACAGCCTCATTCAACTCCTGCTTTCTTTACTAAGAAAAAATATCAGCAAATTTTTCAGCTGCTGTTAAAAGGAAATGAGGAAGCTCCAGGATCATCCAGTAGGTTGGCTGTAACAGGCACTCCGATTACCCTAATGACCAGCTTTATCAATAAGAACTGGATCATAGACACTGGTGCCTCAAATCATATGGCTTCTAGAATTGACATGCTTAATTCACATAGTACTATTAATAAAGAAAGTAAAAATGTAGTTCACTTATCAAATGGAGAAATGGTGTTTGTTATTCATAAAGGGAAGGCTACTGTTCTTAATTAAGGATCAAACTGTATCTAATGTGATGTACATTCCAGACTTTAAGTATAACTTATTGTCTGTATCACAACTCACTCACCAAGGAGCTTCAGTACCTAGTTGCCTTCTTCCCTGACTTCTATATTTCTCAGGATCTCTATAGTAGTCAGGTAAAGGGGATTGGTAGGGAGAATCATGAACTGTATATTCTACAAGGAGAAGGTCTTCAAAACTCTTCAACACTGTCTGAAGGAAGATATCTCAGCACAATTGATGTCTCTTCTAGTTGCCTAAGTCTAGTTCTAGTACTATTTCAAATTCTAGTTTCTTCTCATCTAGTATTCTGTGGCACAAGAGGTTAGGACATGCTCCTCTAAGTATAATAAAAGTCTCAATGTAATCAGTAATGTGAAAGACTGCTCTACTGAACACTGTCTTGTATGCCCTTTGGCTAAGCATTCAAAACCGCCTTTTTCTCTAAGTAATCCAACTACCAAGTCTGTATTTAAATTAGTACATTGTGAAATTTCGGGACCCTATAAGGTGCCAACCTATGATGGAAAAAGATTCTTTGTCACTCTAGTTGATGACTATTCTAGATATACTTGGATATTTCTTATCAAATCTAAATCCGAAGCTGTAGTAGTGCTGAGAGATTTTCTGGTAAAAGTAAAGAATATGTTCTCTACTAATGTAAATTATTTAAGAACTGACAATGGCAGTGAATTCTTTAGAAATGAATTTACATCCTTGTTAACTACTCTTGGCATCATGCATCAAAGTTCCTGTGTATACGCTCCACAACAAAATAGAGTTGTGGAACGAAAACATAGAACAATTCTGGAGATGGCAAGGTCTCTCAAATTTCAAGCCTCTATTCCTCTAAGATTCTGGGGAGAGTGTGTAACTACAACTATATATCTCATCAATCGACTTCCATTTAATGTAATTGGGTACAAGACACCTTTTGAGATGCTTTATTTGCATCCTCCCTCATTGTATCACTTAAGAGTTTTTGGGTGCTTGTGATATGCATCCAGTCCTAAAGTGCATGACAAGTTTTCATCTAGAGCAATTCCATCTGTTTTCATAGGATATTCATCCACTCAAAAGGGGTATATTCTATATGATCTTTCATCAAAAACCTTCCTAGTCAACAAGAATGTTACATTTTAGGAAGAAATATATCCTTTCAAGCACATAAAGCAAATCACTAATCCTTTGTTTCTTGTGCTGGAGTTTGTTTCTGATGCTATTGACAACTCAGTTCATCCTTGCACAGCTCCTCAAAGTGTGATACAGTCCTCTCCAGGAACTTCAGCAGATGACATTGAAGATGATCACTGTCATATTCCAAACACAACTAAAATTTCAACTATAAGTGAAGATCTTGTAGTTGATCTTCTGATTTCACATGAACTTAGAAAGTCTTCTAGAACTAGTAGACCATATCTGTGGCTACAGGACTATGTGGTTCATTCAAAAGGGTCCAAATGTGCCTATCCAATCTCAGCTCATGTAACCTACTCGCACATATCTCCATCCTACAGGCAAGTCTTATGAGCTTACTCTACATGCACTGAGCCTCAAACATTCTTAGAGGCAGTTAAAGATCCATAGTGGGTTGAAGCTATGAAACTGGAGATAACAACATTAGAGGATAACCACACCTGGAGTATTGTTGATCTGCCCACTGGAAAGAAACCTATTGGCTACAAATGGATATTCAAGATCAAGCATAAGGCATCAGGGGAGATAGAGAGATTCAAGGCAAGATTGGTAGCTTAAGTCTATAGTCAAAAGGAAGGCTTAGACTACAGTAAAACCTTTTCACCAGTAGCTAAGATGGTCACAGTTAGGTCTATTATTGCACTAGCAGCTTCAAAATAGTGGTTCATATATCAAACGGATGTGCATAATGCCTTCCTCAATGATGTTCTCCTAGAGGAAGTTTATATGGTAATTCCTGAAGGGTTTGCCAGACAGGGGAAGAATCAGAAGGTTTGCAAACTACACAAATCTCTATATGGTCTCAAACAGGCTCATAGGCAGTGGAATATGAAACTGACTGAATCTCTGGTGTCAATGGGATTTGAACAAAGTCACTATGACTATTTCTTATTCACCAAGAAGACTGCAGGTGATGTAGTTATAATCTTGGTGTATGTGGATGACTTATTGATCACTGGTAATAATCCAAGTCTGATTAGTGACACTAGGTGTAAATTGTAGCAGGGGTTCAAGATGAAAGACCTAGGGGAGTTAAAGTTTTTCCTTGGCATTGAATGTGCAAGATCAAATAAGGGCATCTTCATGAGTTAAAGAAAGTATGCTCTTGAGCTAATTACTGAGATAGGTCTAGGTGGAGCTAAACTAGCTAATACTCACTAGAGTTAAACCAGAAACTTACATCAGTGAAGTATGATAAATGTATCAATCATAAGGAATCATCTGGGGATACACTATTACTTGAAGATCCCAGTAGGTACCAAAGACTAGTTGGAAGGCTGTTGTATCTAACTATGACTAGGCCTGATATTGCCTTCGCAGTAGAGGTATTAAGTCAATACATGCACTCTCCTAAAGTATCTCATATGGAAGCAGCTTTAAGGGTAGTGAGGTATATCAAAAAATTTCCTGGTCTGGGATTGATCATGC